CACCAGAAGGTGGAGCTAATGCACCGACACTTGTATCCCCATTCTAATTCTCAGGGAAAGACAAGGCCACATTGCCTATGAATTCCTGTGCCTGTCACTCATCTCAAGAACTCAAAAAGCAAACAAAAAGGCATCTTTTTTCAACATAGTGACTAATTATGTTTTAATGACATAATTCCTGCCACCACCTCCACTACCAAATTAGTCCACAAAGGCACATCTGCATTCAATGTGTTCCTGCCAGAATGCACCTTATAAAGCACACTTGCAATTATTTTACTACAAGCTAAAACCACACACTGAATTAGGAGCTCTCCCTCATGGTACCTGGGATCTCCACATTCAACCGACCACCTATCTCTGCTGACTTTCCTCCCATCATGCCTTTGTTCACACCATTCTTTTATTCCCAGATTGACTTTCAACCCATTCTAGAAATAAAAGAGCCACACAGTGAGAACCACTTCGGATACCAGCACCTTCACAGATCCTGTTAGAGGGCAACTGGCCAACTCACTTCCTTTAAGTATCTCGGTACTTTCATAAAATGTTTATATTGGGCCTCATATTAAAATCCTCTATGTTTTGTTTTTTTTTTATTATTCCAATATGTTTCCCAATGTCCAGTGGTCCTGCCTGCAGCTATGCGCGCGCGCACACACACACACACACACACACACACACACACACATAACTTGCCAGCAAAACCTTTGTTAAAACGTTCTTTTTTTTCATGGCATGACTCGGTAAATAGATCCTAGGGTTAAAATAAACTCTTTGAAATACAATATACAGATGATGTATTATAAAATTGTATACCTGAAGCCTATATAATTGTCACCCCAATAAATTCAATAAGAAAAAGAAAATGTTCAAACCTATCAAAATGCCCATCCATAGGGGCTGATTAAATAATCACAAAGTCATGAAAAACTAACTAACAAGGTACAGGGCTAACATGGATAAGTCTGAGACAGCACGTGGGGGCAAAGCAAAGTGCGCTTGTGTGTCTTACTGTCCAATAAAACAAAGGAGGAAATCTGTAACAAGGCAATGACAATACGGTTGGTTTGGTACTGACTTAAAAATGATTGGGGGTAAGGAACAAAACGAACCATTCACAGAACACCAGGAAGGAAAAGAGCTGCTGTAAGGGCAGCTGATGACAGGCTGGACGGAAACAGATTGGAAACAACAGCAGACATATTTGGGGATTACGTGTGCTAAACTCACTCTATTTGTAGTCCAAATACACAAGGGATATTTATATATAACCAGCTTTATTCCTGACAAGGAGGCGTCTGGCCTGCAAGCAGTTCTGGAGAAAGGAAATGCATGTCTGTGAGCACGTGTGGTGGGCTGGGTGGCAGTCACATCAGGGGTAGTAGACGTTTTTCAGGAAGATGAATCATGTTGACATGCCACCGTGCTTTAGTCCAAGGGTTCCACAAAACAATACAGGATGCAGTTGAGGAAGCATAGAACTACTCAGCATAAATCAAAACATCACAGAAAAAAAGAAAACATTGATTATTTCAGCTCTTTCCTTTTTGTTACTTTAGAATTACTGTCATTGTTTTATTATTTATTGTTCAATAAAGCTGAGTTGTGTTGTTAAAGGAAGCATCTAATTTTAAAAATACATGAATATACCAATAAACAGTGTAAAATATTTTTTACAAACATTAATAAGATACTTATTTCCAATTCAAATAGAGAAAAAATGTGTACAAGCTAATTTCGTATTTTAGCATATCCACAAAATGCCCAGCATAAACCCTGAGGAAGTATGAAAGGATGGCAGGCAGATTTTAAATCCTGCACTGAAATATGTGAGTCATTCACAAGTAAGTCTACCCATGTCCCACAGAGTGGGATAGCAGGGACCAGTTCTCAAAATCCAGGTGACAGAGTGAGGTACATAAAAAAAGGAAGATTCCGCCCCTGAGACTTTTCTGCTAAGAGGTATTAACAGCAGACATTGTGAAAACCAATTTATATCATTCACTGACATCAAGTAGGGACAAAAACCATAAAAGAAGATAGTCAGAAATGTAAATCTAAATGCCTCAGAGGAAATCAGGCATCATTGTTTTTGGTGCATATTCTTCCTTTGATATTCTTCCTTCCTCCTCAGGTCTCATCTAATCTGTAGCTGCTCTAGCCTTACTTTCTCTAGGTCTCTCTATGAACCTCTGTTCTCATTCGTACTACCCTGCTAATACTCTAATCATCAAAGTTTCTGTCTTACAGCAAGGGTCCATGGCTATCTGAAGCTATGGCAGTAGCAGTGAGCTGAATAAAACAAGTTGGACAGTAGGGCATTTACGTAGAAGATAAAAGTTCCTCCATGTGTTTGTTATAAGATCAAAGGTTCCAAAACAGGAAGGCAGGGTGTTCACACCTGGCCACATTTCTGAATTATCTAGACACTTTTGAAAACATAGATTCCTGAGCCAAAAACACAAGGACTGGTTCAGTTCATTTGAAGTAGGGTGTTTGTGCATTTTTAAAGCTTCCCAGGTGATGCTGATGGCCAGTCAGGCACATAAACAATGACCTAAAAGAGTCCGAGAACTGCTCCAGAGTCCACAGGGGAGCACAAGGCAAGGGGACCATCCAGAGACCCCGGGGCAAGATGCAGGGCTCGGTCAGATTTTGTTTTGGCCTACAAACCTTTGGGAGTTCGTGAATTTGAAAATTCTCTGATTTAGAGACCAACATGCAAAATCAGAGCACTGCCCCAGGAACTGTTCGGCCAAGGTCTGAATCCCAGCTCCAGGGGCTGGGGGGCCTAACCTCACATCTCTGCACCTCAGTTTCCTCAACTAGTAATAAAAATGTGGGGGAGGAGATAGTAGTGAAACCAACCCAGGTCATGCAGTTGTTGTGCAAACTTGATGAGTTAAAGCATATAAAGTATTTACAACGGCCAAACCCATGCAGCATGCAGGTTCTGATTACACTCGGATGTGGATCGGCCACAGAGGCGGGAACACTGGATGCTGAGAAGCTCTCGCTGAGTGGCAGCCGATCCACGAGTGGGCCATGTGCTCTCTATTTCTCCACAATTCCTCATCCCCTGAAGGCCTTGCCCAAGGCCTACCTCACCTGTCTGGACCACCTGCCATCAGGTGACCACCTATTTAGGACTATCCTCTTGGCCTGGATTTTGCAACTCCTACTCCCGTGATGGCAAACCTCTGACACGCGTGTCAGAGGTGTCACATGAACTCATTTTTTTGGTTGATTTTTCTTTGTTAAATGGCATTTAAATATATAAAATAAATATCAAAAATATAAATCTTTGTTTTACTATGGTTGCAAATATCAAAAAATTTCTATATATGACACGGCACCAGAGTTAAGTTAGGGTTTTTCAAAATGCTGACACGCCGAGCTCAAAAGGTTCACCATCACCGTCCTACTCCCAAGTGGAAAACAACAGCTCCAGTGAAGAAATGGTAACTCCCTCCCCATACTCAGTAGCAGGCAGGGAGTGCCCCATGGAGAAGGCAAGAAGCCCCGGCGAGCGTGGGGATGACTACTGGGTGTTTCTGAGACCATCAGAATAAATAGAGTCTCCTACTATAAATCACGAAGCCTTGAGAGCTGCAACTGGCACTGCCAAATCCTCCATTTAATCAGCAATGTTTACATCTGAAGGCCTCTGCAGTGTGTCCTGGCAATAACCAGGCCCTGATGCTTGTTCTTCCATCTGTCTACCTGACAGATCTCACTGCAGCTGAAACCAGCAAGCCTCAGAATGCACACTAGTGTTCCCAACCCCTTTAGTCAAAGCAGCAGTGTGGACCATATGGGCCCTCCAGCAAAGCCAAGTGGGGAACCTCCCTAAATCAGCTATGGGTCCCTCGGGGCCTCTGCTGAGTCTGTTCAATGGATCGACAGTGACTATTAGGTTTGTATGTGAAACATAACATAAGAAAATGCACTTCCTAAGGGAAGAGACTGGGTTGGATTTAGTCGCACCTACACCTCCAGGGTCCGGAACACCGCCTACCACAGAAGGTACACACAAGGATCTAGAACACCAGCGGCAATCTCATAAGCAGAGAATAAATACTACTGATTATTATAACTGTAATTGTGTATATTATGTTTTTAAATTGAATGGGAACTATACAAGTTCACTGTTAGCCCAGAATTTGGCAAAGGAACAATCTGAGGGAACACACCTGAAGTACAGGAACCTCATGAAGAGCTTCTCAGAGCAGTTTGCTTTCTTTCTTATCTGGTTCTTATCTGGCTCTGAGTCACACACACTGATTTGGCCTTTTAAGCCAAAATTCAATTATTCCATGGAAAAGACAGGGCACACTCTGCAGGGCGTCACAGCTCTATCACAGGACTTGAAAGGAACTAATAATGTGAAGGTGTCCTGCTTCTCACTTCAAAACAATAAGATCAGCAGCACAAATTTAGCAAAATTAACACATGATGAGTCTATCTGAAGTCCTACTCATGATCTTTTTGTCAGAAATGCTCAAATTAATGTGGAAGAAAAACAACAGCAGCACCTTTTATCTAACAGATGTGGTCACTGGTGTCAAAATGTTTCTTTACCCAAACACTAATTTCACATTTTCAGGTAACCCCGAAAACCACCCATTTGTGGACATGCTAGGTTGTATGACTGTTGATGGTTTCCTCTAGGAGGGTGTTTCTGAGAGAACCACACCTCACCTCCCTCAGTTCTTACCATCAGTGCTCCATCTCCTACCGCATGAATTTGGCAATGCAAAGTTTAAAAAGAAAACATATTTAAATGGCTGCCTGGTAGTTTATTTGCCAGATGATGTGAAGAGGTGAAAAAAGTAGTAGAAAATGTCAGGAAGGAATTGGATCACTGAGGGAAGAAACTAGCACAGAGGCTGCCTGACACCACAGGAACCCTAACATCTCTTTCCTTTTTGTTTCCATGTCCAGCCGAGAGTAAGCTATAATTGGCCAAGTCAGCGGTGACACTCAACCTATTATCTCGTGGTTTCTGACAAGTTCCTGGTTTTCATCTGCTCTTGAAGACAAGAACTCTGTGTGTAACAGTCTTAATTGGGAGCCCACAGTGAGACAATCTGAAATGAGAGCTGTCCACTTGCAGAGGAAGCTCTAGAGGCAGGTAAGGAAACAGCGTCTCTACGGAGAACCTGAGTGTGTGTGCATGGGCAAGAGTAACTCCATGGAAACCTGAGTGTGTGTGCGTGGGAAACAGCTCTTCCGGGGAGAACCTGAGTGTGTGTGCATGTTGCATGAGGACGGAATAGGAGATGTCAGAATTGGGCAGCAACAATGCCAAGTAACACTGGACTGTCCCCATTTTCTCGCTTTTTGTTTGAGAACTGTAATTGGTGTTTATTGTAATACATTTGCTCATGTTGATTCTGGGATCCAAATTGGAAATTTTACCAGGGATGATTATTATTTCCAGAACAATATATCTGTGATGAGGAGATAGCAAAGAACATGCTTAAGGTATTCACCCAGTACAAACATTTCAAATACTTGTAAGTGCATGTCAAAATTGCCTCTAAAAGTGATAGTTAATTATTACAATAATATTCATGAATCCATTTTTGTCTGCAATTGCAAGTGTGCAAAGATACACAGTTAGTAGCTATTTCTACATATACTTATACAGGTAAAAAGCTTTTTATCTTTGTTGTTATTGGGATAAATTAACCCTTTAATTATCTAATAAGATATTTATTTTCCTTTTAAAGGAATGATAAGCTACAAAAACATCTATCCTATGCATAGCAAACATTTGAGTTCATGTTACTTATTGTGGTCTATGACTAGTCAACTCCATTATTTAAAATACTTTAAACATTATAAATTTAAATTGTACACAGGGGAAATGGGACATATCCACACTGTCAGCATATTCAACCAATCTCATGCAATCCATTTAGTCCAGAAATATATTTTTTAAAAATATATTTTTATTGATTTCAGAGAGGAAGGGAAAAGGAGGGAGAGAGATGGAAACATCAATGATGAGAGAGAATTATTGATCAGCTGCTGCTTGCATGCCCCCTACTGGGCTTCAAGCCAGCAACCTGGGTCAAACATTGGCATGTACTGGGTAGAGCTGCTATGTCTCCTGAAATTGGTAGAGCAGCCATATGTACAAGGTGTCCAGTAGGGCCCAGAGGCTCAGCCTCCCCAGTCACCTGAGCTGGGCATTCTAGGTGCACCCCTATGTGGGCTGTGTGCATAGTCTTAATGCAGTTGAGCCATGAGTGCTGTTGGTGTCACTGGAAGGAATTGACCTCCAGGCCATTTGGCTGTGAGGATGAGGTACAACTACAGTGGAAGAGCTGCTTTGCAGACGATATCATTATGAAGCAGGACTTGCTTAAGTGGGACTTTGGAGGTCACTGACTCTACCCATTACGTATGTCACTTGTGGATGTGTAGAGTTGTAACCTGGTATGGTTTGAAGATGTCCACCAGGAAAGAACATTTAGAAGAAAAAATAAAAATTTTCCCCAGGAGATAAAAAGTCAACCACTGCCTGGGACCACCCAACAGGAGCTACTGAATAATCTCCAGATGACTGCTACTTGTATTGGGCTTGGAAGTGCCCAGGTGAGGCCAAGCTGTGAAGCAAGGAAGGCTAGTTAGTGCCAGGTCTTGGGCTTCTTATTCGTAGGTATGGGGCACACTGACACCAGCTGCTGCTTATTTTAGAGATTTTAGCAAAGTCTGAAGCCTGAGCCATGACAGGCCATTCATATGGAAAAGCTACTGAAAAGAGCTTGGGTGTGGATTCAAGTTGGAAGGGGCAGGGTTCCAGGGAATCACCAGGACAGAGCGAACACTGAGAGTCAGGCTGATGAAAACTCAAATATGGCTGCTAGCTCTATGACAGAGGAGGTCCCAACTCAGGAACAATGAGCCCTGCAAGCACCCCCATCTGGGAGAAAGCCAACCTCGAGTTCCTTCCCCAATGCCAGACAATCCAGTTCCTCCACATATACCCCTGGAACCCCCAAAGCTGTTGCTCAGCTCTGGTGCTCAGAGGGAGCAAGTTCATGTAAGTTCTTTAAGAGGAATTGCCTGGGTCTCCAGCAGCCTCTGTGTCTCTCAGCCACAATCCCCCTGGTTTTTACAGCCCAAAGTTACGGGGACTTCTCTTCTCAGCTCTGGAACCCTGGTCTGGGGGTCTCATGTGGGGCTGGAACCCCTTGCTTCTCAAAGGAGGATTCTACAACCAAGATATCCCTCCTGATTAAAAAAACACCATACGTGGGTGTCGAACCAGCCCATCCTATGACTCCGCCACTCCCTACCAGTCACGATGTACTTTCTTTACTTCTGTAGTTGTAGGGCTTCCATTCAGCCAGATTTCAGGTGGTTCTGAGTGACAGTTGTTCTGCATTTTAGTTGTAATTTTGATGTAGTTGTGGGAGGCAGCGAGTACCAGTGTTTACCTATGCCACCATCTTGGTTCTACCCCATTATGATTTTCTTAATAAAATTTCCTCTACTTTAGCTTACTTTGTTTCAAGAATACTGTATATAATCCATACAAAATATGCATTACTTGACCGTTAATATTAATGGCAATGCTTCTAGTCAACAGTAGGCATATAATAGTTAAATTTTGGGGGGTTCAAAAGATATACCTGGATTTTCAACTACACAGGATTTGGTGCCCCTAATCCCTGTGTTGTTCAAGGGTCAACTGTATATACATCGGTGTGGTCACTTGGAAGAAGAATCTGATTTTCAATGTTCCAGGATCATATGCTTATTTTATCATGTCATTGGACTATAGGAATGGTTTACACAGGCAGACTTGAAAAGTGCCAACTTCTCTTTTATTGTGGCAGGGAAATACCTGACTGGAAAGCAGGACTCACCTATTGCTTAGAGCAGGGGTGCGGAATCTCTGCTAAGAGGTTTTTCTGTCTAGGGCAGCGGTTCTCAACCTGTAGGTTGCGACCCCTTTGGGGGTCAAATGACCCTTTCACAAGGGTCACCTAAGACCATCAGAAAACACATATATAATTACATATTGTTTTTGTGATTAATCACTATGCTTTAATTATGTTCAATTTGTAACAATGAAATTGGGGGTCACCACAACATGAGGAACTGTATTAAAGGGTTGCGACATTAGGAAGGTTGAGAACCACTGGTCTAGGGCCATTTAGATATTTATGACATAATTCATGGGCCTGACACAATTATCAACTTAAAAATTAGCCTGCTCTCCCACACTGCTGACAGTATTGGAATAAATGCTCATATATGATTACAAAAATAAAAGCCTGCTATAATTGGTCAAACATTTAATTAACTCACCCCTAATGTCTTGGCAGGGCCAGACCAAATGATTTTGCAGGTCTTATAAGGCCTGTGGGCCAGACATTCCCCCCCACCACCACAACCACCACTGGCTTAGAGGACCTTCCAGTGAGTCCAGCCCTGAAGTAAAAGGTTGGTAGGTGAGCTCACAAGGGGCTTTATCTAAGGAACATTTCCATCCAACTACAGAGGATGAATGAAATATCATTCTTATTCTAGAGGTATTTCAGTCATACATTCTTTCAGCAAATGCTGATTGCTCACCACATGGAGGCCATGATTCTGGATGCTAGGGATACTCTGTGTGCCGCAGCACCTAGATTTCATGAAGATTTCATTCTAATACACAAAGACAGAGCTTTACACCTCACTCTTTCTTCTCTAGGAAATGACACTTATAACATAATCTCTGGGCATATTGTAACTTAACAAGTGACATTTCTATTTTCTTTATAGAAATTTGAAAAGGATCCTACTCTCATCAGAAGTCAACCACTATTTACTGATTTGACACAAATTCTTGACCAAACCCTGAGAACTCCGCATGTACTGACAAAAATGGAATATATAAAACAATATTAGAATCAGTTGAGTGTCTTTGGGGTTAGCTGTAGTGTTTAATACTCTCTCTTTCCTGTCCCCTGAAAATTCCTGTCTGCTTCAGCACAAGGATCTCACTGCCTCTTTCCCTATTATAAATATCTCTGCAAGAACCACCTTTATAGAAGTGAAAAAAGGAAGAGAAAGGCTATGGTATGAGATGCAAATAAAACCCAGGACTCTGGTTAAGTATCCCTGCTATCACTAAATCTATGAAGAGTTTGAATACTGAAGCAGTCAGTCCTCATCACCAGTGCCACCTAGGAAAGTCATTTTTCAGCTCCCTGTCCCACAAAAAAACAGACTGTACAAATTATTTTCAGAAAAGAATAAGTATCTCCTTAAAATAATTTATTTTAACTTGAAGTTTTTAACTTAATATATAATGTAAACTTTTTGTCTAATCATTGGGTATTATACCAAGACTTTCTGAGTGTTGGTCTGCTGATTAGTTATGTACTAATTTTCCTCCATAAACCATAAATTTACCATATTGCAAGTCATGTTCAGTTTGTTAGTCTAGTCAAAGTGGTATGAGAAATTGTAAATACTTGAGAGGCCACATGAGTAAAAATAACGCAGACCTAGACCTAGACTATTAAACCCTCAAAAGAACCAACTGTGTCCCAGCCTAGTAAGGAAATGGCACAGTGAAGTTTCTCCACAAATGTTTTATGGGCGAATAGCAAAACAAAGGATCTTAACACACTAAATATGTCATGGAAAGAGCAACCTGCCTCACTATTTTTTATCTAAATCCACTCCTATCCCACCTAATAAAAGGTTTAGGCCATGATATCACTAAGACTAACAATCGAACCTTACTAGTAATGTACAGGGCCAAGTAATATAGCATCGTAACAAAGAACAAAGGGCATGAATTCTTTTTAAAAAAATATTTGTTGTTGAAAGTATTACATATGTTCCCTTACTTCCCCCACTAACCCCATCATTTCCCACCCACCAATCCTTCCTAGCCTTCCCTCTGAGACTCCCCATTCTGTTCTATGCTTCTATGTCTCGGATCTATTTTGTTCATAGGTTTGTTTTGATCATTACATTCCACATATGAGTGAGATTATGTGATACTTGTCTTTCTCTGACTGGCTTATTTCACTTAGTAGCATCACACACTCTCCAGGTCCGTCCATGCTGACTCAAAGAGTAAGAGATCATTTTTATTTACTGCAGCACTCATCTACTGATGGGTACTTAGCCATTGTAAATTGTGCTGCTATGAACATAAGGGTGCATACATTCTTTCTGATTGGTGTTTTAGGTTTCTTAGGATATATTCCAGAAGTGGAATCACTGGATCAAATGGCATTTCCAAATTTAATTTTCTGAGGAAATTCCATACTGTTTTCAATAATGGCTACACCAGTCTGCATTCCCACCAGCAGTGTAGTAGGGTTCCCTTTTATCTACACCCTCGCCAGCACTTGTCACTTGTTGATTTGTTGATGGGAGACAGTCTGGCAGGTGTGAGGTGATACCACATTGCTGTTTTAATTTACATCTCTCTGATGATCAGTGAATTTGTGGATTTTTTTATATTTCTCTTGGCCATCTGTATATCCCCTTGGAGAAGTGTCTATTTAGACTTTTGTCCATTTTTTAATTGGATTGTTTGTCTTTTGTTAAGTTGTATGAGTTCCCTATATATTTTGGATATTAACCCTTTATCAGATGCATCATTGCCAAGTATATCCTCCCATACAGTGGGTTTCTTTTTCATTTTCTTGATGGTTTCTTTTGCTGTGCAGAAGCTTTTATTTCGATGTAGTCACATGTGCTTATTTTCTCCTTAGTTTCCTTTGCCCTAGGACAGTGGTGGGCAAACTGTGGCTCGCGAGCCACATGTGGCTCTTTGGCCCCTTGAGTGTGGCTCTTCCACAAAATACCAACTTCTGCGCATGGGCCACGAAGTTTCAATCGCCCTGTACATGCGCACCCCACGTGGTATTTTGTGGAAGAGCCACACTCGAGGGGCCAAAGAGCTGCATGTGGCTAGCGAGCCGCAATTTGCCAACTACTGCCCTGGGAGATGTATTGGTAAACATATTGCTAGGAGAGATGTCAGATATGTTGCTGCCTATGGTTTCTTATAGGATTTTTATGGTTTCCCGACTTACATTTAAGTCTTTTATCCATTTTGAGTTTATTCTTGTATATGGTGAAAATTAGTGATCTAGTTTTATCTTTTTGCATGTATCTATCATATTTTCCCAACGCCATTTATTGAAGAGACTGCCTTTACTCCATTGTATGTTCTTGCCTCCTTTGTCAAATATTGAGCATAATCGCTTGGGTTAATTTCTGAGATCTCTGTTCAGTTCCATTGATCTAAATGCCTGTTCTTGTGCCAGTACCAGGCTGTTTTGATTACGGGGGCTTTGTAGTATAACTATATACGTTATTGTGATCCCTCCAACTGTATATTCTTCTTTCTCAAGATTGCTAAGGCTATTTGGGATCTTTTTTGGTTCCATAGAAATTTTTAGTGTGTTTATTCTAGAAATGTGAAATATGCTGTTGGTATTTTAATGGGAATTACATTGAATCTGTAGATTGCTTTGGAAAGTGTGGACATTTTGATGATGTTAATTCTAGCAATCCATGAACATGGTATATTCTTACACTTGTTTATATCTTCTCTTTTTTCAACATCCGGTAGTTTTCCAAGTACAAGTCTTCTTTGGTTAAGATTATTCCTAACTATCTTAAATTTTTTTTTTTTTGTTACAATGGTAAATGGGATTGTTTATTTAGTTTCTCTTTCTGAGAATTTATTATTGGTGTGTAAAAATGCCATCAATTTTTGGGTGTTGATTTTGTATTTTGCTACATTGCCAAATTCAGTAATTAAATCTAGTAGTTTTTTGGTGGAGTTTTTAGGGTTTTCTATGTACAATATCATGTCACCTGTGGAGAGTTTTACTTCCTCCTTTTTACTTTGGATGCCTTTTGATTATTCTATTTGTCTGATTGCTGTGGGTAGAACATCCAGTACTATGTTAAATATGAATGGTGAAAGCTTACAACTCTGACTTCTTCCTGTTCTTAGGGGATATGGTTTTAGTATTTGCCCATTGAGTATGATATTCACTGTAAAGGTTTGTCATACAGTAGGTCCTCAGGTTACTTCAGGAATCCGTTCCTATGGTACAATGTAACACGATTTTTGCCGTAAGTCGGAAACCACCTACGTCACTCACAAGGAGCATACACAGCAGTAATGAAATGAAACAGAAAGGAAAAAAAATTAAAAGGAAACAATTCCTGACCTTCATTGTGGTAAATAAATAATAAAAAATATAAAGCACATATGTACAGACGTCGAAATGACAGAGCTTTTTTTTTTATAAATACAGTAAATGGGAGATGGCAACATAACCATGAAATGACGTATGTGGAGTGCGACGTAACCCGAGGACAGCCTGTACATGGCCTTTATCGTGCTGAAATATGCCCCCTCTATTCCCACTTTGCTGTGAGTTTTTATCAAAAATGGGTGTTGAATTTTGTCGACTGCTTTTTCTGCATCGATTGATATGATCATGTGATTTTTGTCTTTCAAGTTGTTTTTGTGATGTATCACGTTTATTGATTTGTAAATATTGTACCAGTCTTGCATCCCTGGAATAAATACCACTTGGTCATGGTGTGTGATTTTTTTAATATATTGCTGGATCCCTTTTGCTAATAATTTGTTTAGGATATCATCATCTATGTCCATCAGGGATATTGGCCTGCAATTCTCTTTCTTTGCATTGCCTTTATCTAGTTTTGGAATATGGATAATGCTGGCCTCATAAAAAGAGCTTGGAATGTTCTTTCCTCTTGAATTTTTTTGAACAGCTTGAGGAATATAGGTATTAGTTCTTCCTTGAATGGTTGGTAAAACTCCCTTGTGAAGCCATCCAGACACCAGCTTTTGTTTGCTGGGATCTTTTTTGATTATTGCTTCTATTTCATCAGTTGTTATTAGCCTATTCCCCTTTTTCTGATTCTTTCTGATTGAGTTTTGGGAGATCGTATTTTTCTAGGAATTTGTCCATTTCATCCAAATTGTTCAGCTTGTTGGCATATAGTTGTTCAAAGTATTTTTTTTTAATTCTTTGTATTTCCATAATGTCAGTGGTTACTTCTCCACCTTCATTTCTGATTTTATTTCATTGGGTCCTCTCTGTTTCCTGATGACTATAGCTAATGGTTCATCAATCTTGTTTATCCTTTCAAAGAACCAGCTTATGATGTCATTGATTTTTTTAATTGTATTTTTAGTCTCTGTGTGATTTATTTCTGCTCTAACCTTTGTTATTTCCTTCCTTCTATTTACTCTGGGATTTTCTTTCTGTTCTCTTTCTAATTCTTCAAGTGGTAGGGTTAAATAGTTTATGATTAAATTTTGAAGTAGGCCTATAGTGCTATGAGCTTCCCTTTAAGGACTGCATTTTCTGTGTCCCATAGGGTTTGGATTGTTGTGTTTTCATTGTCATTTTAGGTTGTTGTGTGTTCATCTTCATTTGTTTCCAGGAAATTTTTTATTTCTTTCTTGGTCTCATTGGTAACCCATTCATGATTTAATAACATGCTATTAAGCCTCCATGTGTTTGAACGTTTTGCGGTGTTTTGACTGTAGTTAAAATTCCACTGTGATCTGAGAAGATGATTGATATGATTTGAATCTTCTTGAACTTGTAGAGACTTGTCTTGTGTCCTAACATGTGATCTATCATTGTGAATGACCCAATGCAAGTGAAAAGAATGTATATTCTGTAGTTCTGGGGTGAAATGTTCTATAAATGTTGATTAAATCCATCTGATCCAGTGTGTCCTTTACAGCCACTTTTTCCCTGTTAAGTTTTTGTCTGGAAGATCTATCCAATGAAGTCAGCAGGATGTTAAAATCCCCTATTATGACTGTACTAGAGGCCCGGTGCACAAAAATGTGTGCACTCGGGGGTGAGGAGGGGGTCCCTCAGCCAGACCTGTGCCCTCTTGCAGTCTGGGACCCCTCGGGGGATGACCACCTGCTGACTTAGGCCTGCTCCCCGGGGGATTGGGCCTAAGCTGGCAATGAGACATTCCTCTGGCAGCCCGGCAGCCCTCAGGGGATGTCCACTTGCCAGCAGGGAGCAGACCTAAGCTGCAGTTGGACATCCTTAGCACTGCTGAGGAGGCAGGAGAGGTTCCCACCACCACTGCTGTACTGGCAGCCATCAGCCTGGCTTGTGGCTGAGCAGAGCTTCCCTCTGTGAGAGTGCCCTGACCACCAGAGGGCAGCTCCTGCATTGAGCGTCTGCCCCCTGGTGGTCAGTGTGTGTCATAGTGACCAGTCATTCCCAGTCTTACTGCTGTTAGGGTCAGTTTGCATATTACCCTTTTACTATATAGGATAAAGGCCTGGTGATGGGTGGGGGCTGGCTGGTTTGCCCTGAAGGGTGTCCCAGATCAGGGTGGGGGTCCCACTGGGGTGCCTGGCCAGCCTGGATGAGGGGCTGATGGCTGTTTTCAGGCTGGCCACACCCCCTTTAGGGTGGGGGTCCCCACTGGGGTGCCTGGCCAATCTGGGTGAGGGACTGGCCAGCGATGAAGCTCCCGGCCTCTCCTTTTTTTCTTTCTTTTTTTAAAATTCTCGGATTTCTTTACCTTCTATAATTGAAACTTTGTTCCTGTCACTGGAGCTGAGAGCCAGGCTCCTGCTCGCTCCAGCTCTGAGGCCACGGCCTGCTGAAAGCAGGTATCTGGGGTTTGTTTAGCTTCTATAATTGAAACTTTGCTGCTTTCGGAGCTCAGAGCCGGGCCGCAGCAGGCGGGGAACCTTGGCTTCCTCCATGACTGGAGCAAGCAAGCCTCCTGCTCACTTCAACTGCGTGGCTGCCGGCCGCCATCTTGGCTGGGTTTATTTGCATATCTCACTGATTAGCCAATGTGAGGCATAGTGAAGGTACAGTCAATTACCATGTTTGTCTATTATTAGATAGGATTGTTGTCAATCACTCCTTTAAAGTCCTCTAGAAGTTTTATATATTGAGGTGCTCCTAAATTGAGTGCATATATGTTTACCAGGATTATGTCCTCTTGTTGGATCGATTGCTTTAGTATTATGTCATGATCATTGTTGTCTCTGATAATGGCGTTCATTTTGAAGTCTGTTTTGTCAGATATGAGTATTGCTATCCCAACTTTTTTTCTTTTCCATGTGCATGGAAATTTTTTTGCCATCCCTTCACTGTCATCCTGTGTGAGTCTTTTGTTCTGAGGTGGGTCTCTTGGAGACAGCATATAGTTGGGTCATGTTTTTGTATCTATACAGCTACCCTGTGTCTTTTAATTGGAACATTTAATCCATTTACATTTAAGGTTATTATTGATAGGCTAGAGGCCTAGTGCACAAAACCATACACTCAGGGGCAGGGCGGGGGAGGTCCCTCAGCCCAGATTGCAAGAGGGCACAGGCCAGGCCACGGGACCCCACTGGTGCACAATTGTGGCTAGAGAGGGACGCAGGAGGTTGGCCAGCCAGGGAGGGGCTGCGGGAGGGATCCAGGGTGTGTCCAGCCCGTCTTGCTCAGTTCCGATCAGCCGGACTCTAGCAGCAAGCTAACCTACCAGTGGGAGCGTCTGACCTACCAGTCATAGCAACTGGTCGACTAGTCGACTGTTGGCCCCCTGGTGGTCATAGCGAGTGGTTGAGCAGACTTAGCATATCAGTAGCATATTGCGCTTTGATTGGTTGAACAGACGATGGAACAACCGGACACTTAGCTTTTAGGCTTTTATTATATAGGATACTAATTTGTTGTCATTTTAATTCTGTATTCCTAGGTTTCTCTATTTCTTCTTCTCATTGCAGCAGTTCCTTCAGCATTTCTTGCAATGCTGGCTTGGTAGTGATAAACTTCTTTAGGCATTTTTTGCCTGGGAAGCTCATAAAGAGCTTTATTTCACACTGTATTTTGAATGATAGGCTTGTTGGATATAGTAATCTTGGTTTTAGATTCTTGCTTTCTATTACCTTGAGTACTTCATGCCATTCCCATCTGGTTTATACAATCTCTGATGAGAAATCAGCTGACAGCCTTATGGGAGCTCTTTTGTAGGTAACAAATTGCTTGTCTCCTACTGCCTTTAAGATTCTCTCTTTAATTTTTGGCATTTTAAATATTATGTGTCTTGGCATGGGCCTGTTTGGGTTCTTTGTTGGAACTTTCTGTGCCTTCTGACTTGTGTGACTTTTTCCTTCACCAGGGTAGGGAAGTATTCTGCTATTCTTCAAACACATTCTCTATCCCTTCCTCCCTTTCTTCTACTTCGGGAACACCTAGTATGCAAATATTGTTATGTTGCATGTTGTCCCACAGCTCCCTGAAGCTGTCCTCCTGTTTTATAATTATTTTTTCTTTTTGGTTCTCTGATTGATTTTTTTCTACCCCATCTTCTAATTCACTGATCCAATCCTCAGCTTCCCCTAATCTGCTGTGTATTCCTTCCAATGTGTTCTTTATTAGTCCCATTCATTCTTTATTTCCAACTGTTCTTTTTCAGGGTTACTATATCTTGTCTCATGCTGTTGAGCATATTTACCATCATTATTATGAACTCTATATCTGATAAATTTCTTATCTCCATTTAATTGATCTCTTCTGGAGAATTTTCTTGTTCTTTCCTTTGGGAGTTGTTTCATTATCTCCTCATTTTGACTGCCTGTTTGGGTTTGTGACTATTCATTAGGTAGATCCGTTACACCTCCCAGTCTCTAGTTCAGGACAGTGTCAAACACTCTTTCTGACTAATTAGATCAGGCAAAGACTCAAAGCCTCCAGAGACTGCCTCTGCCTGCAGTCTGATTGGATTCAGTCTTGAGTAGCCCTCAGGCAATCATCCTCAGGTGTGGCAAGAGGTTTCCAACAGGGTGGGACAAGTGTTTCTGCCTGGAAGCTAATTGTTATTCTCAGCCTCTTAAAGGACCTCAGCAACTCTCCACCATGTGGTAAGAGCTTTTCCAAAGGCTGGGTCAACCCTCTTCCCCCCAGGTGAAAACTGCTTGGATTGCAAAGGTCTGCCTGAGAAAGATGACTTCTGCAGCATGAGAGAATAACTCAGCACAGGAAACCAGGTTGTCTGACTTCAAGAGCTTTAACCCCAGAGCCCCCAACCATGCATTCTGCTCACATAGCTCCAGTTTACTCTGATCCACTCCCACCCCTCTCTGCCAAGCTCAAGTTGATTGGCTGCACTCAAAAATTTGTGCAATATGACAGGCCCACAGCCAACATCATACTCAATGGACAAAAACTAACACCATTTCCCCTAAGAACAGGAACAAGACAGGGATGCCCCCTCTCACCACTCCTGTTCAACATAGTACTGGAAGTGTTAGCCATTGCAATTCGGCAAGAAGAAGAAATAAAAGGCATCCAAATTGGAAAAGAGGAAGTAAAACTGTCCTTATTTGCAGACGACATGATATTATACATACAAAAC